CTATCGACGATTAAAACAACGACCTTGTCAATTAAATGCTAGTAAAGAAGCAGAAAAACGTAAAAAGCGTACAACTAGTTTATTAGTAATAACAGTTGTTTGTTTTGCAGTCTGTTGGACACCATGGTGTTTATATTCATTATTATTAGAAGTACAAGCTTTATTAAATGTTGAAAATGATTTACCATCAGCAAGTACATATGATTTATTGAAATTTAATCGATTATTCAATTCAAGTCAACAAGTAATTCACAAAGAGGATGAAACATGGAAATACTCTATTGGTTTGAAAACATGTGAAGACTTTCTATGGTATACAATGAATCAATCACTACCTATTATGAATGGAAATTTTACAATGGATTCATCGATTGACTTAATGAAACCAAATATGAATATTATACCGGGGAGACACATAAAAATTATTGATCTTTTATTAAAATTATTTGCAATGGGTTCCGCCTGTGTCAATCCATTGTTGTATGGATGGTTAAATGAACCGATACGTGTAATAATGCGTAGACAATACAGTAGATTTGAAGGATGCTTTAAATGCTTTGAAATTAGCCGACGTCGTACAGACAATAAAAAACATATGAAAAATTATATAGAGGAACAAAATTTACAAAAAAGACCATTAACTAATACGTCTTGCTTTGATAAACACAAGTCAACGTTATTATCATCATCATCATCCTCCAAATTTTTGAGACCTTCACATTTCATTAGATCCAATTCAGATTATGATACGAAACCAAAAGTGAAAACTGACAGACCGAAAATTGGTAGTAAGCAACTAAATGATGCTCGATCAGTGAATTATGCTGAAGGAGATACTGATCTCAATAACAAAGACAATTTAAACCAAATAGTCGTAATAAAAAATAATAAACTTGACTCTGATACTGGGATTTTAACAAACAATGATAATAATAATACTGCTGACAGCAATCGAGGCTAGTTTGATTTACTGCCACTAAAAAGACTTAAATTTAGAGGAAAACCACAAGTTAATAGATTATAACTGAATGTATTCGATTGTTAGAGTAAAACACCAAATTATTCAAATTTAATTCCTTAATTTTTTTCCAGACATAAAAGAGAACGTTCCACACTTAATATACAAAGAAACAGAGAATCTGCTAACTCTTATGTATCCAAGGGTGACGAATAAGTAGATGGTAAGTGAATATAAACATGTGGATTTAAACACGTTCTTTTCTCTTATTTAAAAAAGACTGAAGATAAGAATAACTCCATTTATGAGATGCTTCAGTCAGTGCAACTCATTGAACATTAGGAAAACACCTGGTAAACATAACAAGAACGACCACGGTCAAATTCATGTACTACTGTAACAACTTCAAATTATATTGTTCGTTTGCATAAAATCCATTACCAAAGGGAAAAAAGGAAACAGTCTGATTCGTAGAAAACCCAGGAGTGAAATACTTCAAAAATTCCATACAAAACTAAGAGTAATATAATTTGTGGATTCGTTAATCACTAAATGTATGCCAACTGTAGTGGCTGAGATATATACAACGTATGCTTAGCCCCACCTACATTAAAATCAAAGTAGACTGGAAAACAGACTATTATCAGATCAAGTCATATCGCTGGTGTGTAAGTTAGCTGACGGTTTGCTTGGTTTCTGGATGAAAGTTCACACATTCTGGATATAATTTTGAAGTCCATCGTAACTTGTAGTCTACGGTCGCAAAATGACATGTCTAAAAGGTTATCTTAGTGAAATGGATAATATATCCTATATCTAAATAACAAATATAGGATATCTATAAACTAATAAGAAAAGCTTAAACTTATTGAAAAGTCCAATAAAAAACCACAATTGAAACTTCACGAAAACGAAGCACTGAAATTTATAACCTACATATTGATATAATTCAACATTCATGTAATCAAGATAAAAGCAGTAAAACGTAAGAAAAGTAATAGAATCTTAGATACTGCTGAATACAATCTCTTTAAGAGCCTTAATTTTTATACCACTACTACTCATGCATAAAATCAAGAGACAATACATAAATAATAAGCTTGAAAACACAGCGTAGATGTTGTTCACACGCATTTGAAAGCCGTTTCGTCCTAGTGGTCTAGAGGTCGAACGGTCGTGCGAGACTAAAGGATCTAGGTTCAAGTCCCGCGTGCGGAGTTGTGAACGCACACTGTTGAGCAGTCCCATTACCAGAACGAAGCGGCCGTCCAGTGCTTCTGGATTTTTAATGATGGTCTATATATATATATATATATATATATATATATATATATATATATATATATATATATATATATATATATATATATATATATATTGACATATAAAGCCAATAATAATGAAAATAACACTATCTAATTGTGATTTAATTGTAGCATTTTGTGTAAGGCTTATTAAATGCTCATACATATTTGAGGATGACAGCTCAATGAACCAATCTACTGAATCCATCCTCTTGTTGTCTAGAGTAAGAAGTAATACACTGAACAGGCTCATATTAAAAAAATATGGGCTAAGGAGAATAGAATATGTTAAACGTTTTTTATACTACTGTGTTGCAGCTTATCTTTAGACATAACATTTAAGGAAATAAGATCACTGAATCAATTTGTCGCTAGTTTTTAACCACGAAAGTTCCTCATCTATACACAACTCAACAGTCAATGACTTCATCAACTAGTAGTGTCGGACCTCAGTTCAGTCACTCCCTGTACAACGCTAGAGAAAATTCAGTAATACACTACTGACAGATAATGTACAAAAATTCAAAATGTGTTTTAAGGTCAAAATTATGCTGTAGGTGATGAGAAAACTTGATATTCTTTTTATAACCTTACTCTTTGTAGTATTTCCAATTATCACTATTCATTTATTTATTTGACAGTTCTTCATTCTTAAATAAAAAAGGTCTACAAACAAATGCACAGCCAGATTATTAAGAGTAAATTGGGTCAATACGTAAATCATAATTTTTAAATCAAGTTTATATATATATATATATATATATATATATATATATATATATATATATATATATATATATATATATATATATATATACCGGTAAGTTGATATTAACATACTATAAAACTGTTAAGAAAGATTCCCTATATAAATTTGAGAACAAAAAAGGAGTAACAATTAGGGCAGAAAAACAATATGGATTTTATTGTAATGTGTGAACTCTCATCAACTTCTTAAATCCTTCTTGGAATTGGTAAAATCCATCCAATGGAGTGAAATATGCCAGTAATACCTAATTAAATTTGATGACCGAAAATGCTTATGACTAAAAAGTCATTATTATTAATAGTTATAATATAAGTAATGATAATTTATTTATTATGTACTGGGGTATGAGCCCCACGCTCTGTGAGGGCTAATATTAATATTTAGATACCTAAAATTAAGTGGGTGTAGAGGTGTTTTGGCCTGGCCTGGAAGTCGCACAACCTAACCATTAACTAACCACTTTACAAACGTTTTTTAACGGGATTGTTCATGCACAGGTTCCCCAAGTACAGTTTGCAGAGAATGTTAAACGAAACGAAGAAAACTTTCTTGCGGTGGAATACTGAATACATAGATTATGTGAAGATTGCCGATAATAAATCACTCGATGGGAACAAGAGTACTTAGAATTTGATGACATAAGGATTAGATAGGCAGATGAACTAACAAAAGCTCCTCAATCATCCTAATGAAAACAGTAGTCAGTTAGTCACCTAAAGCATAGGACAAGGCATATATATGTATACGTCCATACCTCAATTAGCACGACAAGATTAACACTAAATTTATAGAAGTAGCTGCTTCAATGGTAGTAATATATAAAAAAGATTGTATATAAGAATATACAGGAAAAAACATTTACACCGAAATTTCACAGCTCACCAGTGAATTTTCGGTGTAAAAATTTAAACAAAATGTAGTTGGGTTGCACTTTTTAACGTGTGGACTTTTTAAAATGATGCTAAAACGTTGACAAGATGTATAGTGTCAGTTGAATGTTGAGATCCTCCGTTTTTTAATCTCTTTTTTTAGAACTTGTTCAGAGATTCGCACATGCACTCTCCTTTCTGTTCATTTAATGTATTTTCACTCTGATACGCAGTCATGTATTAGCGATATAATATTCTGAGAGGAAATCCCAGGAGTTCTGTTGAGAGTTCAGACATGTCACGTGCAAGGCAGTCACCCACAAAAAACAATTGGAAATGATTGCGTAATGTCGTGAAATGATTGAGGTTGGACATTAACACCATTGGATGCCACTTAGTGTTCTGAAGTTTAGGTGTTCGCGTGAGAAGCGGAATGTTTTGGATTCAAGTCCTGTGTGCGGGGTTGTGGTTGAGTACTGATGACATGGACCATGCTGGGACGAAACGGTCGTCCAGTACTTCTAAGTTTTCAATTATAATATTCTATCGATCGGTTCATTATTTTGATGAAACCCAACAACCTCTACAACTATAGACCTACAACGGCTTTTAATTGTTTAATGAAGTAGTTAGTGAATACATAGTGAAATCAATAGTTGATGGACAAGTAATTTTTAGTTTTAGTTGTTTCATTGAACTTATTATCTCTAAACATGGTGTGTAACAACTCTATCACCGCTAAACACCGACTATTCCACACTATACTACACATTTTACAAGTACTTCCTCAAAGTAATTTTTTATTTGAATAGAAATAAAAATACATTAAAATTAATCATTAAAGTGGTTGATAAATGGGTTATTTTTGTTGGGATTTTAAAGATCCTAGATGAATTCAAATTGATAGCAACACTTTATATATCTCTAAGATCCCCATTATTATGGGAATCGGTTATATAATTATTCCACACGTTTTAAATTATCATTTGATTGGTTATATTGCTTTAATAATACCATTTCAATAAATAAGTAACCCCATCGAATCAAGCACATTTTATGCAGTGCATAAAGTTTTAAAGGAAAAAAATAAGACGTCTTACTTATATGTTGTTAGATGACGAGCATAACCAGCTAATTGTTCATCTATACCAGAACCGAGGAACAGAAACTAAAAAACAAGCAAAGGAAAACACTTCAGAATTATTTCGATGAATGATTAAAGTGATCATCATAAGGACCTAAAATCAATCGAAGTGTAAATAAAATTAATTAACAACGAGATTCTCACAAAACCACGTCCATACAGTGGGTTCGTGAGCCTCGGAAAGTGGATTTTTGATTCAAATAAGCCTGTGAGTTTTACCGATTGAGGCTTCACCAACCTCAAGTGGATGGAACATAGCAACAAACCTGCAACACATAAATTAACGTGGTGAAATTAATTCAATTAAGTTGAGATAGTGGTGTAGTGAACAGAACACGGGTGGGGACAACCGAATATATATGACATAAAATTAGAGAGCATCTTAACTATATATTAAATCGTTAATTTGCGAAATGTCCACCAATTGTCTCAAAATGCCTCAGACTTCATTGTTCATTCATTTTCATACAAATTGCATTCTATTCCCGCTCTTGCTTTCTTGATCTTCCCTCATCTTCTGCTGCCAGACATTACATTCCTGACTCCCATAATATACTACTTATATCAATATAAGTAGCACGCACCACAGTGGTTCTTAAAAAGTTTATGCTAATGCTTCAATTGAAGTCTCGGATTTCATGTGTCAAGTTAAAAAGAAAATATTACGAATTTCAATTGTTCTCACAAAATACATTAAAAAAATAACACCTGTAAAATAACTGAATAGTTTATGGAAGAAAAACATCCATAATTTAATACAATCAATTTTTAATTCTTCAATTTATTTTCTGACGTCTCAGAGACAAGCACAACACTAAGATGAACTCAGAATGGTCACATTCAAACAAGACATGCTTCAAACGGCTAAGTCGATATATGTGACAGAATTAAACACAGCGTGTGCACTAAATTCTACTCAGACTAGCCAACACAAAGCTAAATAACTCTAACTCCGTTCACCATGTTACCAAAAGATCACAAAATAATTTTAGATTGAAATAATTTAGATTAAATCGATTTTGACTAAAAGAAAAAGTGGTGTAGCCACAAAAAATTTATAATTTTTAATAGAAAAGTAAACTTGAAATCCAGACTTTACAAAAACGGAAAACTATTGGGATATAAACGAAACTGAGTCGAAAAATTCATTGTTACAATACTATGACATAATTTAGGGATAGATGTTTTTAAGAAAATTAAATATTACACTTTAATTTCATATAATTTATGTTATATAATGAATAGGTTTTTTTATGATATAGATGTTCATACACAGTAGTGTAATATACGAATGATGTAGATCAGATCTACAGTTAAGAGAAAAGTAACTCTGGGAATACAGGGACATTGATTATTAAAATGTTAAAATTTATTGTAGTTACGATAGAAATGAATCCAAGTCATTTGCAATTTAGATTATTTGATTGACGTTTCTTAATTATGAACCAGTCGGAAATTTCTGGTACAGGATAAAATGTTACTGAACAAAAATGAAAACTACTATACAACAGATTCTTTGAACTAGAAAGATGAATGACAAAGATATAAAATAATATTGTGATATGGTAAACAGATAAATGTGGTTTTACCACGGTAAGATGATCACTGTAAAATTTCCACTTACTTCTTCGTTCTCAGATAATCTGACAATAATAACAGTTGATTGGTAACAATAGTTATAAATTTAACTGAAGAAATCCCTCGCAAACCTGCCTACTTTGTATCGAGTGCGGCATCACTAACTCATTGGGTATACAATTGAAACAGATTCATTTTTTTGTGACAACTGAATTTCACGCAACTACATGGACATTATTTTAAACATTTTGACCATAGTACAATATAATTGCAGGAAAATAGGTGAGAACCTTTATTTTAGTTTACACACAATTTGCTCTTATATGATATGCCAAGTAAAAAAGACAAGATATAAACCAAAAATATAATGCAAAAGAAACCTAAATAATCACTCTTAACACCGCTTTTATCGACTCCATATTAAAGACAGTAAATATTGCACAATATTACTTTGTCATAGATATAGGTCAACTTGTAACGAATATACTGTAGTTATCATTACCAAGAAAGATTTAGGAAACAACTAACAAAAGATTGTAAAAATATTCATTGAAATCATAACCAAAGTTAAAATCAGATAGTGATGAAGAAAATAAGAAATTGAAAAATCTGTACAAATCTTAGCATCTTTTTCACTAAATATTGTAGATAAGCTAAAATTTGCTGCCAAAATCCTAGGGCTCCAACTAACCCATCTTTACAAGACATATATGTATGACAGAATTGTTTACAAGTGTAAAAGTAGTACATGTAAATGAGATAAAAATACTATCGAGCGAATGATAACTGTTTTGATTTTTAATTAACCACTAAAACATTTATTTACGGTAAGGCTGTGAATTTTTGTGAGTCAACAGGACATAGGAACTTTCTTAAAATAATAATAACAAACAAATAAATAAAAGCAATAAAACAGTGGTTTTGCGATATAAAGTTATAAATAACCAAGCAAACCACAGAAGAGGGGGAATATGTTTCGTTCTAGTTTGCGTTTACGAAGTAATAGAGATAAATGATTTCAAAAACCGCAGATCACTTGGACAGAAAGCTCAACTACACATGAAGTTTCAGTGCTGGGTTCCAGAGCAGAAATTACTATTATCCTTTTAAAAGTCAATGTTCAGTATAAAAACCCTAGACTTAACACGTCATTGTAAATCGGATGTCTCAGCTACAACTGTATGTAAACAGATTGATTGAGTTTAGCTATGAAGGTGAGAAAGACGTAAACGATTATTCCAGAAAAAAACTCAAACGAAACCAAAATGACTAATTAGCCAGGAAAACTTTAGGTTCATTTGATTTAAAAAGAAGTTTTAATCGACTCAATAAAATTATCCTTAAATATCAATATAGTTAGTTAAATTATTTAGGTAGGAAGAAACTGTAGTACTGAAACACTATTAACGTTTTTATCTTCGAAAAAATAAACACACCTTTGCTGACGAAGTGCATTTCTCTTCGAATTCACTTGAACTGTGTAAAACACCTTTTCCACGGGCTGCAAACCAAAGAGCTAAACCTAGACTATCATCTAAAACAGTTGTATGTTCTGGGAGCAGTAATGGCCATACATGTTTAACTCTAAATTAAATGGGAGAAAGAATGTATTGAAGAAAATTAAATCATCCGTTAAAATAATATGAAGATATTAGTAGAACAGCTGTTCAGTAAGTATTGTTTCTGAAATTCAAGCACTAGACCCTAAACATTTGAATGATGCTTCACTTACTCTGTTATAAAAAAAACTGAGAATGCTAGCACCTCTTCACATTCAGTATAATGATAATACTGTCAGATAGATCAAGATATTAAAAAATAATATATGTAAAGAAAAATATACCACAACACAACAAAATAGTAGAAGGAAATGAAATACAACAACGAAAAATTCAGATGTTAACACTTTTATATCTAAAAATTATTTTAAGTTCCATGCCTTTTCGCTTAAAATAAAATAGATGCTGGAAATAAAATTGGATAGTTTTCACTATAAAAAATAGATACACTACGAAGGAATTGAAAAGAGAATTAGAAGAAAACAAATACGATAACAACGTTTCAAGGAAAAAAATGTGCATACAGTTGAGAAATAAACATGGAAGTTTATTCGAGTTTGTAACAGAATAACATTAACACAACGTCGATTAATCAGTTCAAGTCATCTGAGGTTATGTATAAAGGACAGTTTGTTTAAATATACTATTCCCTTACTAACCTATCTCTGCATGTATAGTGAAAGATATCATAAGATGAACAAGAAGAGTAGTAAAAATTGGTGTAAAACTGAAAATAAGGTGTAACACTAGTTTAATGTAAGGAAATATCCTACTATAGTGAGTAGTAAACGAAATTTATGGAATTAAAAGGAATATAACTATTCACTTTCAAAAATATGAACTCCAACAGCTCTTCTGACTAAAAGATAAAATGAGTTTGAATCAACCAACTAGTGTGTAAGATGCCAATAGAAATGAATCACTTTTCCCACCTCCTTGACTGAAGTTTATGATTTGATCGTCCACACAAGAATAGAACAGGTTTGTTGAGTATTCAGAAAGTTATGCAGAGGATCCTGAGCAGTATCACTCAAATCACATGTAGGATTTCTATTCTATGTTCATTGAAAAAACTCAACCATTATAGTGAAATGAAGCAAACTTCGAAAGTTAAAACTTCTGGTGAGCAGGCTAGGAGATTCACCTAAACTAACTACAAATGTTAATAAAATCCAATCTATCCAGCTTTATAACCCAAAATGGAAATCAAGTTAATGACACACTATGAAACTAATTCATATTTTACTATGCAGTTTAAATACTATATTTTATAATAAAATTGTTTTTCACTTAAAACATACACTTTTGGAAATTGAAAATAATACGTAAAAATGTGGTCATGTTTCTTCATATAAAATACATAAATGTTCAATTTATTCAAAGCCATTGTAATAGTTAATTAAGCAAAATATACTACTTAATTTCGTCAACTAATTTTACTACTAAGACATGATTATATCTCTCAATTTAAAAACAAAGACGTTATTGAAGAATTGAGTAGAACCGCATTCAATACTTAATATCATGTATTTGAATAATTTAAAATAGAAATTATACATTTTGATCGAAACCAAAAAATAAGGTTTCCTGAAATAGCTAATTTATCAATTAATAAATAAATTTCACTGAAACTGTCAATTATCTAAATTATTTTCAAAAGAAAAGCAAATTTAGAAATGAAAAACATAAACATCTCAGCAATAAATTTATTAAATGCAATTACTGATGGTTAAGAAAATTCAGTAAAACCAAATGAACACAATAATGTAGAGAGAAATATAATAAATTATAATTAACTAAGTCAGAATAAGAGAGAATATCAAATTAAAAATAAATAATTTGCCAAAATTAACAATAGAATAAACATACACACAAATAATAACAAACTTATCTAGATTGTTCGGATTCACTTGCATAGTGAATGACTAAAGGCATGATCAATTCATCTATTCTAGTTTTCTTTTTTATGTAAAATGATAAATTTACTAATTAAGTTTGGCGAGAAAAAGAAGTAAACAAGTCTCTATTATAATATATATATACGTAAAGTTGAATATTATTTTCAACCATAGAGTTGAACACAACGAAATTAAAAGGGATAGTCGCATTCAATTTGTTTATTTCCTGTTTTTCTTTATTGTTTTCACTTGAATAATTTATATTTGAATGACAGATTCCCTATGCGAAAATAAAACTGATACGATTTGAAGTAAATACCATTGAAGAAATACATGGGAAAAGTTCATCCAGTCCCCTTCGTGTGTTCGATTGCATAGCACTGAATGAATCAATATTATTTATTATAATGAACTAAAATTATTTTCGAATATCTTCCTACATTTCTGAATAATTGTATCAATCGTTATTTTTTCTTTTTTGAAACAGATAAGATTGACAACTAGCAGATATGTGGATGAAATATGAAACAGGGAAGTTAACTGAGAATCATATATATTTTTCGTTGTATAAATATAAGTTTTTCACAGGATACTAGTGTTGTTAATGAAAGCCATACATTTAGCTTAAAAGAATTCTCACATAGATTGAAGTTGATTTACATCATGCATTGATATAAACTGAGGAACCACTGAATTTTTCTGAAATATCCACCCACGACATAGTCAGGGACCGATAAAAGGACCTTCATGCATTCAAAAGATGGAAATCCTTCTAAATAGGAATATGAACTATTGAATTTTAACTAAGTTATTTAGCAACTGATTTACCATCATTCCCTAATACTCTGCGTCTAATCTCACTATTACTTACCCGGTGATCCCAGCAGATGCCAGCAATATTTCTAAGGCATCTGTGGTCAAATACTAGTAGCTTACGAATGTCTCCTACTCTTAATGGCCATGTTTCGCTGCCGTAAATTAAAACAGAACGGACAGCCGCGCAGTATACTCGTCCCTTAATTGATAGACGGATATCTCATCTTCTCCATAGGTTATGTGGGTTGTCAAAAGCCAAATGAGCTTTTTCAATTCGTGCAGAGATTTCCTCAGACATCAACCCATCAGGTCTGATCAGACTTCTAAGATAAGTGAAGTTATCGATGCGTTCGACTACTTCACTCCCTATCCTTAGTTCAGGTGTTGACGCAGACCAATCCTGAAGCAACAACTTGCATTTAGAGGGAGAGAAGCGCATTCCAAACATTCTGGCATTGTTGCTCAGTGCTACCAAAAGACTCTGCATTTTATCAGCGTCGTCACCAAACAGGACTATGTCATCTGCGTATTCTAGGTCGATAAGTGAACCTCCTGGAATGAGGTCAATACCCGAAAATTCAGTAGACGAGAATGTTATTTCCATCAGTATGTCTATGATGAAGTTAAATAAAAATGGAGAAAGTGGACAGCCTTGACGGACACCAGTTCAGGTTGCAAAAGCAGATGACAGTTCTCGATATGCTCTGACTTGACTATTGGTGTTCGAGTAAAGAGCCTTCACAAGGTTTATGTAAATTAAATACGAACAGTTTGAAACATATGAGAATTTTCTTAAGCAAATACTGCTGAAGAAAAAAACCATATTGATAATATAATGCAACGAAAAAAAGCACAAATAATAAATGAGGCATAATTAAGTTACATAATTATATTTTATCACAGGAAATAAATGCGTATTACTGATCCTTTTCCTAACGCTTGATTGACTGAGTAATACTCAAATAGTATTAGACTATGTATTATCAGAATGAAATGAAATATAGGGGTGGATATTCAATGAATTAAACTTGCTTAACATCTAATATTCAGCCACAGACAATTTATACATCTATCTGCTCGAACTTCTAGGACGTATTTAGAAAACTGAATTTATAACCATAAATTTTCCCGTTTTACACTTATTTCAATTAACTAATTAGATCTGTCAGCTGCTTGTGCCTACGCATTTCCATGAAATGTTCACTTTATCGCGAATTTAACGACTGAGAAGTATCATCATAGCTTTTTGAATATTTTTATTCTCTTCCATCCTTCATAGAAAAGAATAGCAATCACTACATAACTCATAAATTAAATATATTAGTTGTTACAAGACTGATTGTAAACATTTATGGATATATATATATATATATATATATATATTGAATATCCGTTTACTGCGTAAAAAAGAGGAATTTTTTACTCATATCAAATATATCGCAATAAATAAAGAGAATATTAGTATTACTATTATCAGCAGTGGAGACAATCGAATGTATTTGACTTAAAATTACAGGGCTTGTTAATAAAATCTAACAATCATAAAGTAAATGCTTAATTTGAAAAATGTCCATCAATTGTCTCAAAATGACTCAGACTTCATTATTCTTGCACTTTCATAAAAATTGCATTCTGTTTGCATTCTTTACTGTTTGATCCTCTTGTCTCTGCTGCCAGACCTTCTGTTCACGACTAACATCATATACTACTTATGTCAATATAAGCATCACACACCACAATATTGGTATTATTTAGTAAAGACAGATGAAACCAATTCAAGTAATAATTATTCTTACTATACATTATGAAAAACTGACATCTCTGAGTATCATATAGAAAGTAGAGATGATAATGTTAAGTCAGATAACTACAAGTAATAAGAATTTTTAAAAATGACAGCCCAAAGATTACATTATTGTCAGTCGTTTCGCAAAATTAGATGAGAGACATGGTTCAACACTTCACGTTACTCAAGAGCATATTTACACCATAATTATATACTATAGACAGTATCATTCAATAAAAACGACCATTCAAAGCATCCGAAATTTTTATTAAATTCCAGATTTCCCCTGTTCCCGATCTAATTATGATAGCATTGTATCAGTTAAACAAAAGAGCAAATGAATTCTCAGTATCGAATAGAGTCGACGAACAATGAATATTTAACAATATAAATGAATAAATTTATGATTTAAAATAAAAATTAGTTCAGATTTAAGATTTCAATCAAAGATAGTAGTAACGCAAATAATAATAATAATAACAGTGTAGGAACTATTGAGTAAAACTTTTGCAAATAAAATTACAATAGTGATGATCTATAAAATCAGATTTGATATCCAACAAAACAATGAGACAAAATGGAATATGATAAAATGTGACAGAAATACACTGTAAATAATAATAATAATAATAGTGATAGAAATAATACTGTATCTGTAAACAAATTCAATTTTCATCTGGGTAATATACTGATTATATTACAAGAGTCATGCACACTATCCACACCTAGATTACAGCTTTAAAGTTAGGGAGAAAAAGGGAAAACAATAATAGAATCAGACTATACTAAAAAGGTTATGTTTATCAAATAACTGCCAGTCAAAGGAACTATTAACAGGTTTACAATAAAAGTTACATATAAGTAACAATATATATAAAAGCTCAATGTAGCATATATACCATACAATATTAGGAATTTGTTTAGCAGAAATGTCAGATAAATGTAAGCTTTTTTGAAAAAATATTTATTTAAGACTTAAGTATCAGAGTCGATAAAGTTAAGGTAAATTTACGGAGTAAAGACACACTAAAGGGAGAATTTAAAAAAGAAGTAGAAATTAATATGCACAACTCGATATAGCTTTTGTTTCTGTGACCGTTTTACTGTAGAAGAAACATCAAATAAATGGCTAGAATATAGCTATCGTCCACCTAACAATGAAATCATTAACCAAGAATAAATGTATTGGGTTTTCATCTATTTCTTTTCAGGTGAGGGTTAGTAATAATACCTGGCCACATAAACTGAAGTTCGGAATTCCCAAAATTGATTTGTGCAAAAATAGGATTAAACGAAAGGCAAGCCTACTCTATGCGAAAATTATCAAAGGCAGAAAACAATCAAATTTCCAACATATATCCAGCACAAAATGTGCTGATCACAACACTGACGCGTTTTACGGGCAAATATAGAAAACAGTTTGATTAATGTGAGAAACGAGGGTATTCGTTATATGCCTCATATTATTGGTCTTGAGATTTAACGTGTATTTTATAACAAAGCAATACATAATCGAGGAGTTCTGAAAACCTTGATGATTCGACCACCTCGAAAATCTCCAGAACGATACAAAACAGCTGTTTGGTGTTTGCTAACCTGAACTTGTTATACTCCTGACGGAATACCTGACAGTTTATCAAACCGTAAATAAATAGTACAGCGATCAGCTGCTATTATTTGGTAGTGAGGAGCAAATGTTAATCATAGATGTTCGATCGCAGGTATATTCTGAAGTGCTTCTATTCTGCGATGAGACCATCAAGTGAGCAATAGATACATAACTGACTAAATAAATGAGCCATATATGAATAGAAACATGAATATAAACTACAAATCAGCAGTTTCATCATTTTCTCGTCATGTACCAAATTAAAACGTACTACGAGCTTTATTGGCTCAACAACAAAAAGAAACTTAAAATGATAATAACGATAATAGTAACAGTAAAAATGTATGGACAATAAGATTATGTAGCAGAAAGGAAACAATTTTTAAAAAGTCTACATCAAATATCACTAGTGACACTAATGGTTACAATAGTAAAAATAATGTTGATGAACTAACCTGGCCTCTGAAATCTCACTGACATTTACATTAATCTAAAAATAGAAAAACAAAATAACAATGAGATAACCTAAAATAAATATTAAAGATAACTGGTCAGATTAAATTACCTACTATCTATACAATCGAAACGTTTCATCAGTAATAAATAATACAATTGAGTAACCATATACAGATTGGTGTGCTTAGCTGTGAGGCGCACTATTTTTATAAGATCTAATGATACTATCCCCTAAATCTAATTCAGGTAGATGAATAAGGTTCTAAACATAAGACCTAAGTAATTTACTAACCATTACCAATTAACTGGGATTCAACTATGCCTTCAGAACTTAAGTGCTATTAACAAAACTGATTACAGTGTACTTCAAGTAAAAACAGATACCGCAAAAAAATATGTAGTGGAATTTAGATTATGTACATTGTAAAGAATGATCAAGTGAAAATGCCAGCTCAAAATAATCTTCAGCCATTCAGAACATGACTATAAGATACTAACACAAATCCTCCGATGATTCTTGAAAAAACGAAAACTAAACGAGGATAAGTATTGTTACGGGAGAATAACTAACAATGAAAAACAACTGTTGAATGATGTAACGTCAACTTGTCTCAACGATGTCATTATCAACACTGAGATTCCCATAAACAGTATCAGAAAAACACAATGATAATAAAAGATGAAAGTTATACACCGAAAAACAAAAAACTCTTACAATACTATATAATAATTAGCTGAAAGACGGAAAATCTGCCAGAGTAAACTGTTTCACCTCCAACGGTTGAAATAATACAAAGAGAGAAAAAGAATTTTAATAAGTAACTCATGTAGCTACTAATCAAATAACAATCTACAAATATTTGTAGCATGTCGGCAGTTTATTCAAGAACGAAAGATATTCAGCATATTATTCGTCTAACAATATATTAGCGTAGACAGACTGTACAAACATTAGTTCATTAGTAGTCTACTTTTAAATGATACTTTGTAACAAACTGACTATGAAAAATAAAATATAACATTTTTCTAAGTAGATTAATCCAAATCCATTCACATCATGAATAAAACTTATAAATCAGTATGAAATGCACGAAGACAAATAGAGTATTATATAGTGAAGAAAGTGAAAAGAAAAATAACTGCAGAAACGTATACAGAAAATGAGATTAAATTATACAATATGAAATCTTGGAAAGTAAAAACAAGCCATTAATGTATTATGATTATTATTTGTTATCACAAAAATAAGTAAATTCTGAAACTTGGACATCCTCTACCATGTATTATTCAGATCAAAAATTATATCTCTGTAAGTAGATTATAAAATATGAAAAAGAGTAGATCTAGTAAAGAATATCTCTCATAAACTATGATAATGATGATGATAACACTTTATTCACTAGAAAACTGTATCATTTTGAAATTATCTTTGAAATATATACAATATTTGAAAATAAACACAATCCATTAAACAATATCTAGGTTTTTTATCTCTAGTAAACAAACATGTATTCCATTAATTAGTTAAGTGAATTTTAGATATTAGTTCAATGTGAATAATGTATTTAGAATTAATTTATCCCAGTTGAGCAATTATTGAATATCAAGGAACACTGAACATTTGTTTGAAATCATTTTGAGAAGTAATACAAATGCGAATTCAGGACCGGTTAAGGATCGGTTTATTAGTAAGTGAAAAATTCAACATTTTCAAGTGCAGCTACTTTTTATTTAGTCACTAAACAAGAGTCTAAAGATGTTCGTAAGAATCATGTTGGGTTTTCAATTAATTAAATGTTACTAAATAGGGAACAACAAAAATTTTAATAAATGAATGGAACAATGGTTTATGAATACATTACAATTCTATTTAAAACTGGACAGATAGATGTAAAGGTCAAATTCTACCACAGACTAAATGTGGAAGAAAATAAAACTCATAAGAACTTCATTAAATTATATCTCTGTAACACATTCAATAAGAGAAAACTAATTATACTCCTTGACTGCAAAAAAATCGGTTAACTACAGTGGACTGAAAAAAACACCACAAATTCGGCAATGAATTCTTTAAAAAACACATAAACGTAAAAGGATGATAAAGCAACTTTTCTAATAACGTACAATATACATTTGGACAAAGAAATGAAACAAAATCAGTTTTGATTCTAAAAGAATTATCAATAGCAAAACAAAAATTATTTTAAGATATCTTTCGACATACACTTGTCTAGGGAATGTAAAATCATAATGATAACAGGTAAAAAAATAAAGTAAAAATGCAATATGCACTTTCAGATACGATTAACCAACTTAGATTAAAAATAGCTCAAGTTCAAGAAAAGAATAAACTGTGAACTGAGTTTATTGGCAATGAAACTTTCAATCAGATTATAAACAAAATAATGTATTTGTGATATCCCAATGAGTAGAAAAATTAGATTTCGTGACTCAGTGTGAACCACTTCTTCAGAGAATAAATAACCAAATTTAAATTAATCCGAGTTTAAATAGTACGAACGAACAAAGCAAGAATATTGGGTGTGATCAATCAAAAAACACGTCTGAACAACTCAATGTTGTGTCATTTCGGTCAAGGTGATATATAAGTGACAGTATGTAAATTTGTGCGTGTGTGCAAGGTCAGAGATGAAAAAATGTGACCTTTGTGGTACGAAAGGATAGAGTCTAATTTGCATGTACGATAATAGTGTCACATGTGAATAATATCAGACATGGTGGCTTGGATAGATAGTTCAAGTCGGATTTATAATGAGGCCTTCTTTGCTATTGAGAGCAGCACACCCATTCAGTGCAAAGATCTCGCTTTTCCTAAATCTTTTTAGAAGTGCTAACATGATTATCCAATCGGAATAGGACAAACAAAAAGAACAAAAGCATGTAATTAACATCTTACAATTTAATAATTTTCCTATGAAGATTATTAGAAGTGTATTAAAACGAGACGTTTCACTGGTAAATAATAACTTGAATGAAATAACATGGATAGGTATTACAGTTTTAATATACCTATCCATGTTATTTCATTCAAGTTATTATTTACCAGTGAAACGTCTCGTTTTAATACACTTCTAATAATCTTCATAGGAAAATTATTAAATTGTAAGATGTTAATTACATGCTTTTGTTCTTTTTGTTTGTCCTATTCCCATTGGTTATTTATTCTCTGAAGAAGTGGTTCACACTGAGTCACGAAATCTGATTTTTCTACTCATTAGGATATTACAAATATATTATTTTATTTGTAACAATCTACCCAATGCTGAATTTACTCAAAATTATAAGTCAAACCTTGGTAATGATACCTTTTGACGAGATTATTCATCAGCTTCAGTGAAACTTCAATTGATGATTATTGTATCACTGAAAGCTAAGTAGAGTAATAAACAAAATTCAATTCAGCACATATTTAATCTAAATATTAAATCTATCAAAATGGAATTTATTTATGATATCAGTATCAATCAATAACTAGGATTTAAAGGTGTATCTGCTAACAACAGAAAACTGTGTTATTACAATCAAATCAAACCATGATCTGTTACGGATAGTATTAAAACCCAATTTATTGATTCGAAAACTGAAACAGTAACTAAAGAATTAGGAAACCGTTATTTTGACAATTTAATATATAATTTTAAAAATTTCACTGATTGAAATCATGAGACAATTGGAACTAAACCACCATGGATCGTGGATGCGCACTGCTGAGGTGTTCCATACTAGGACGAAACGGCCGTCCAGTGCTTCCAGGTTTTCTATGGCGGTCTAGCTTCAATTGACTCATGATTTCAATCAGCGAAATTTCTAAAATCTCCACAAAAACCCTTCTGATATAATTTTAAGCCAAGAGTTTTGTATAATAAAAATAATAAGAGAAAATATTCATAATTTCCAATATATAAGTGGTAAATTACCAGTTAATTAGAATAGATAAATTAATATAATAAAAAAACGATAAATAAATAAACAACTACACAAGTCGAACATACAAGAAAAAAACATCAACGAAAGCCATTAACAGAATAACAGCAACAATGACAACAATCATAGGGACGAAAACACGATCGAATGACGAAAATTTAATTAAATACACTAAATATCCTTCTGTGATATCAAAAGGTAATAATAACACTATAAACATTGTGTTTTTCCCTTAGTTGTTTGTATACTTCTTCCTTTGTTACGTAAATAAGTATAAACAACAATCATTAAAAGGAAAACAAAGTAGAAAAAACAGCGAAAAATATTTATGCCGAACATAAGAATAAATTACAAACTAAGCAAAGATCATTTATAGGGTCTAATAAACTGGCAAGAGATCATAAGTAGTCAGTAGCTTGTAAGTTGTTATAACATGAAAGTGTGATATTAATTGACAATTATTGTACAACCCTTGAACGTCCAAAAATTAACAAACATTCAACACATCCTTCAATCTCAAAACGAAATTAAAACTAATGAATAATGTTTTTATATAAATGTGATTAATCAGCAATCTAGTTTCAGTAATCATACAACAAAAGTAAATTATTCTGGAAATCGAAATCCACAGAAGTTGTTGACAGACTAATCACTGAATAGATTTAAATGAATTAAGAAAAATTTTAATTACATAAAAAAAAACCTTAAGTTTTTCAATTTCAAAATGTAATGCAGTGATGTACATTATGAAGAAATTCTGAGTCCAATTCCTAGGAATAACGTTAGGGATATATTCAAACAAAGGAAGAAAAAATGGTTTATAAGAGTTAGAACCAACTAATTCTAAGAGATAATACACAAGAAAAATATGTGCTCATGTGAGCAGAGATAGACTACGACAGATTAAACGAACTAAGAGGTAAATGATCTGTAGAATTTTGCAGACTGTTACTACATGCTACTTAGTACAGTCTTAATAGCTCAACATTAACACTGATTTTATTTGATAGACAATGTCGGTAAAGCAGAGAATGATAGGAAATATCATGAAAAGAATAAATGAGTTATTTATCATCCAATCGCTCAATA